TTCGCTGTGTTATTTTCAAATGTCACCACAGCTTTGGACGATATTTGAAATTGATTGTTTATGTTTCTATGTTGTCTGTGCTCCTTTTCGCTCTTGATAGGACACAAGGGGAAAACTGCTCGTAAGCCGTCCTCGAGGGGCCGTGGACGTCCTGCTACACAAAGCCTGACGAGTAAACGGCTTCCTTTACGACCCATCCTCCCAAAGGTACCTTCCCTAACTCCTGCACCACGGCTTCCTTTACGACCCATCCTCCAAAAGGTACCTTCCCTGACTCCTGCACCAAGTACTTCGGACTGCACAGTTGGACCGGGGTAAAATGTTCTGTTTATGCTCGCATTTATTGTATGTCACTTTACTAACTGACCTGACTCGTTTATAGGAAAGCTGATGTTGACGTCTAACGCACTATCAAAAATTGCACTTTCCAGAGCACATTCTTCCTCTATAAAAGTGTGATAGGCATTTAAGATTTCTTTTTCCCGATGACCTTGGGAGAGAGTAATTAGTTTTTTCCTGGACCGAACACAGTCGCGACCTAAAGTTTACGGATAACCTGTTCCTCACTAAGATTTTTTGTAAGGGCACCCTTTCTCTAACATCAAAGATAAGGAGGGTTTTCTTATCCTGCTACGCATACCCTATTCTTCCTGTTTTGGATGAGCTCCCGTAAATCTGATGCCCAATTAGTTGGCCTGGTAAAGAAACATCGGATGTTAATCACTTCACGTATATTTACGACGTAACATCATAAATCTCTTACAATCACTGTGTACTATGCTGCCTAGTCCACTGGCTTGTTACCGTAACAATAACCACCATTTCGCAATTCACTTCCAAATTTCGGTATTGTCAAAAAATTGCCATCTTTAGAATTTCGTTCCTACTAGTCAACCTCCTATCTCATCATCAGAAGTTCCTTTGCGCCCCCACATACGGGGTAGTAAATAACGAACATTACATTTCGCTCTCCTCTCTATGAGCTTTCATCTCCGAGACCTGTTGATACATCATTAAGTTTGTCAATTCAGAAGACCTATCCTTTAGAGGAATTAACATGTACACTGAGACATATTTTTTACAGTTCAAAAGTTGCCACTGCTTCTGATCAAGAATGGTTTCACAATTCGAACAATCACCTGTCACTGGAAGCTGTGTGCTTAAAAGTAAAAAGGTCTTTTTGGTGCGTTCTTAATATTATTATCATCTCCGACCCACTCCCCACCATTCCTCTTTCAGGGCTTCCGAGATAAAACTTGAATCGACGCTAATTTAATGTCGACTCAACTTCGGATAACTTCTGTGACTTCTATTTACGCAAACCCTGACTCTTAACATTCCACTACCAGGCTTTGATGGCAGCTGTCTTCTGTTTCGATTATTCTCTTTAATTTTGCCAAACTGTAGATGCATTCTTTTCTACACACCTGTTTGCCGCTCACAGTGGCAAGATCGGTCTCTATGCGAACCCAGATCATTGTATTTATTTTTTTTTAATAAACTATTTTTTTACGATTGACTGCCCCACTTTTGTTCTTGCATCGCTTGCTCCCCTGTCGTGCGCTGTTGTCACCAGAAGCTTGTTTGTTTGACTTTTTTGTAAAGATTTTGGGTATGAATACCTCGTAGGGCCGCCTGGGAAGCGC